ATGTTAAAATTTTCAAAATATTAAAAAATTTTTTTTTTTAATTTCAAAGGAACAAAAACTTAATCTGTTTACGAACCAAGTTATTTAAATAGAGAGCAATGAAAGGCTTTTATATATATTGTATTTAATGAACTTTCCTTGTAGAATATTTAAACTGTAAAAAAAAGAAAGATTGCAACGCAGAGAATTAATGTTCGAAACATTTGAATTTTTTGAGATAATAATAAAAATATATATCAAATAATTGAAATTCTATCTAAATCTTTTAATAATAGAATAAAATAGATTGTTATCTTTAATTTACATCAAATTATAATTAACTTTTATGATATATTCATAGAGTTTATGTCCGAACAGTCTTTACAATTATTCCTAGTTATATACAGTATAGGTCTATATATTATATAAACTTATATGAATTTAAGATACTTTGTATAAATTGGCATCATTTTGTATTATCCACGCAACAAAGTACCAACTAGAAATCAATAATTATAATTAAGCTGTATAAAATTCATTATAATCAGTTATAAGGTTTATCCGATGAAAATTTACTTAGAAGATTTCATACAAATTATATTAGACAGGTTGCGGCCGAAGTTTTCATCTTTAAAATGTGAACGTCGAACGTCGAGCGCCGCTGACAAGATAGCGACACTCGACGTTCGACGTTCACGTTTTAAAGATGAAAACTTCGACCGCAACCTCTCTATTCTTTTAAGGCTGATTGTAACATTTTTTGTTATGTACGCGACCTCGATGGCGTTAAAAATGTAATGCATTTTCTATGGTATTTTTCCATAGAAAAAGCATAAAATTTTTACCCACCATTTGCTGGAGATTGCGTGCATAACCAAAGACGTTACCATCAGCCTTAATGTTAAATATCTTTTTATTTATTTTTATCATAAGATCAAAACAATCTTCGATAAACTGGAACAGGCATAATAAGATTTGTTGATAGATAATAGCAAGAGATTTTCCACTGATCAACTGATAGAAAGGTGATCTTAACCATAAAATTGGTATCTAGATCCGATACTAATTTCTGATCAATCGTAGATTAATCGGAAGCAATTTATTTGATATTGATAAAAATTGATAAGAAAGGAAAGGAAGTTTTGTGTATTTAACATAATATTAATGACAAATTTTACGGTGAAAAACTTATGAAGTAATTCTTATTTTTCGTTTAAAATTTTTGATTTTATTTGCTTGGTGTTACCGCACTTCTGATATAAATGATGAAACCGAGCAATGAAAATTACATGAATAGAAATTATTGAAATTTTACAATAGACAACCCTAAAGTTATAATTAAATTCAATATTAAATCATCCTCTTGTGTATCGAAATCACGAACCAGAAAATTCAATTTTTCATCAAAAGTTCATCGAAAATCGTATCTATTCATAATGATTGCAAACAATCTGCGTCTAAATAAATATTAAATTATTTAAATAAAAATATATTAAAATTTTGTAAAACATATACACGCAAATTTATTGAAAATCCTTAAAAATTCATCGTTAAAATTAGATTTGTGAGGAGTATAATATAAATTTACGAGTCAAATAATTATAATCAAAATAGTTTACATATTACACTGGATTATTGTTTGTATCTGAGGTTTTATTCAAAGAAATAAACATAAATATAGACCTTTAAAAATATATTTGGTCCACATGAGAAGCGGATAATATACAAAGCTATTTAATTTTTTCATCAGTTCTGATAAAAAATTAATGATTTCTGTTGAAATATGCTTAAAACTAAAATAATATAAAGTATTAGAATTTAACATAACCTAAAATAAAATAAAATAAAAAATAGATTTAATTTTCAGAATCGAAACGTTCAAATTTGCTAAAGAAGAGAGGACGAAAAGATTTAAAATAAATTGTTTGAAACTGGTTTAAAGTACACTTTAGTACAACGATGTCACTCTAATATATTTAAGAAGATAGGAGTGGCATTACAATCATTTATACAATGGCTTCGGGGAGAACCACTACAACCTATTCATATATTTTTTTATACGTACATTGATATTCTGTACTCATTAATACGTAATCCGCAGATATGCTGATTTTCCTACTGCCCTACGAAAGAAAAATATTAAATTGGATTTTGACATGACAATATAAAAAGTGCAATGAATGAGATCGGCCAGACGGCTTGTAATTGAAGAGGGTTTTTTTTCATTTACCAGCTGTAAGATACCTTATCTCTTCTCGTTTTTACCTTTATCACTGTTGAATAAATAAACGCGAGATTGTAAACACCTCATTATAGATTATAATCTCGATGTATACACAATTTTCACTCAGATCGTAAATAAAAATTATGCCTTTGTTTTCGTGTATGTACCAGGGGTATAGTTTTTATATACAAAAAAAAAAATNAATGTCATCTGTAACTTTATCTACTGAAGTTAATACATAAAAATATAAAATTATAAATTCATTTACGATTAATACTTTATATTATTGTAATAAAAGTATTTTCCTTTATACTCTGAGATGTATTTGATGCTATTTTCAAATTTATTGACGAATAGCCTATACATTAATTTAAGACAGGAATTGAATTTTGCTTTGTTACCTTTCTTCCAGCTCTGTTATTATGAAGATTCATCAAAGATCTTTCATCTTTCTCCAATTCCCTGGAATCTACGAATTTTCTGGCTGATTTTGTTCCGGATCGGACGTCCGAGCTACATCCTCCCCATTTCCACCCAGAGGGGGAATATAGTCCATTCTTTGTGCGATCGCACCCACACTTGCTGATGTTTCCCCTGCTGCAAGCCAACGTGATAGCGTAAGTGATGGCTGCAGAATTGATGGCATATATATACGACGCCTCTTTGCTCCCTGCGAAAACATAAATTTCATTTTGAGTTGAAAAAAGACCTTGAAAATGTCAAAAATAAATTATGGGGCTATATAAAATAACTTAAAGACCGGGTAACAGTTTAACGTTTTATAAAGCTATTACAGTACTTTACGACATTTTAAGTCGCAGGGATTTAGAATATTTCGGATCCACCCGCTCGTTTAATTTAAGCTATCAATTATTTATAATTCGTTCTACGTTTCAATTTTATGATGTATTTTTGATTCATTTTTTATCTAAATTAAAATTAAGAATAAAGATTAAATCAAAGTGATTTTAAAACTTCACAATTAAAAATTTAAAGATAAATCTTTCTGTAATTAATTTTTCTTAGATTTTTAAAAATAATACAAATCATTATTCTGATTACGTTGTGTATTATTTATGAAAGGTATGTCGATCGGGATGTATTGTTCAGTACAGTACAATCATTTAAATTATAGGTATTACGAATTGCCAATGGAACGATAGTAAGAAATATTAATAGTGATAAATTGCAGTAATTTTTGTTTCAGACATATAAAAAAAAGTATAAATATATAGAAAATGATTAATCAAATTGGATCAGACAAATCTAGAAATTTTTATAGAATAAGACTCAAAAATAAATATGTCCGAAAGCCATTCTTATATTAATTTGTAAGGATACATGTTTGGGTGGGGCTTCATATTATTGGAAATAAGAAACTTGATTCTCATTCCAACACTTCACCCGCTCGTCTAATCTTTTATGCATCTAAATCACGCTCTCATCAAATATCCGCTTCACCATTCGATCAAGATTAATTAACTTTGCCTCACGAACTTATAAAAGAAAAAAAAGTGAAGGAAACCAAGAAGCATTCTCTTCTGGAGGGTGGAACAGAAAAAAAAAAATAATCATATAAAAAAAATGGCAACCCTCACACTTGAACCTATCATTTAGTATCGGACGAGCATTTGAGGAAGAGTTATAAAAGAATAGCTTATCTAACAAGATACCGACTAAGAAATTATAGATTTTTATAGATAAAGTTCAATGCCGTATCTTTAACAAAAATTTCGAACATAATTTTCGTGTTGGCCTAATATTTAACCTAAAGACTCAACCTACATACTGTATATGCATACTGTAAATATATCTTCTGTACTTTTTACGAATTTTGGGCGGCGGCGAACTAGATGGAACCGATTGGTGAAATGACGGGAGATGGAAGAGGGGGCCATAGTTGGATGGCCGAATTTCTGTCACGTATACTTTGGGTAGCGACTACCTGTCGTAACAAATTACCCCTAAAGTTTTCACGGGTGATTGTGCGTCACGCCGAAAGGGGGCGTTACGATTGAACGAACGTGATGTGGTTTGTGAGGGACTCGTAGGTGGATAACTATGGGAGTGGCCCGAATTATCTAACCGTTTCGGTGCTCGATAGAAATTTAGCCGTCATCTACGTACCTTCAACTTCATCCTATCGGCTAAATCACGAGATGTCCCCTAAAGATTCATACTCGTTAGCACGAATGGGTTCAAACTGACACTTTTTCTGAAACTTATCTCGGCCATAATTTTCTTAGTTATCTTTACTGTTCAACTCTTTAGTTCGGTTAATTATTATTTTTAGAAGAAACAAATTATCAGATTAATTAGTGCTTGTTATTGAGATCGTTCAGTAAAAATGTTTTTAGCTATCAATTAATTGTGAAATTAATAATCAGACCACGTTTTCGAAACTGGACTTCGTACAAACAAAAGTAAATGATTTTTAATTAATTAAGCGCAAAGGATTTATCTAAAAATTAAAAATCAACTAACAAGAAAATAGATGGCAAATAGTATTATACGCTATAATCTTTATTTTTTTCATTTTATTTGAAATAAGTATCTTGATTTATGTAACTATCCTGTTTCTGTTTAAACATGAAAGTTAATGTCATCTGTAACTTTATCTACTGAAGTTAATACATAAAAATATAAAATTATAAATTCATTTACGATTAATACTTTATATTATTGTAATAAAAGTATTTTCCTTTATACTCTGAGATGTATTTGATGCTATTTTCAAATTTATTGACGAATAGCCTATATATTAATTTAAGACAGGAATTGAATTTTGCTTTGTTACCTTTCTTCCAGCTCTATTATTATGAAGATTCATCAAAGATCTTTCATCTTTCTCCAATTCCCTGGAATCTACGAATTTTCTGGCTGATTTTGTTCCGGATCGGACGTCCGAGCTACATCCTCCCCATTTCCACCCAGAGGGGGAATATAGTCCATTCTTTGTGCGATCGCACCCACACTTGCTGATGTTTCCCCTGCTGCAAGCCAACGTGATAGCGTAAGTGATGGCTGCAGAATTGATGGCATATATATACGACGCCTCTTTGCTCCCTGCGAAAACATAAATTTCATTTTGAGTTGAAAAAAGACCTTGAAAATGTCAAAAATAAATTATGGGGCTATATAAAATAACTTAAAGACCGGGTAACAGTTTAACGTTTTATAAAGCTATTACAGTACTTTACGACATTTTAAGTCGCAGGGATTTAGAATATTTCGGATCCACCCGCTCGTTTAATTTAAGCTATCAATTATTTATAATTCGTTCTACGTTTCAATTTTATGATGTATTTTTGATTCATTTTTTATCTAAATTAAAATTAAGAATAAAAATTAAATCAAAGTGATTTTAAAACTTCACAATTAAAAATTTAAAGATAAATCTTTCTGTAATTAATTTTTTTTTCTATAAATAGAAAAATTAAGCTGCAGCCAACCATTAATATCTTTATTTTTAAAAATAGAAAAAAAAAACAAAAATAATGCTCATGAATTTTCAATTTGAGTTATGTTATCACGCGTATAATTTATAACTTCTGTGATTTTTATAGCTATTTAAATTATTTTCAGTGTCAAGATGATCTAGTTCTAGTTATTACTTATAATTTATGTTTTTATGAATAGTTTTTCATTAGATCGCTTTTTTGTTTTATTAATTAGTTTGAATTTTTTAAAAGTTATTTTATATTAATTCGTAACCAATAAACTAAAAAAATAAAATAACTTAAGAAAACAAAAAATTGTTGTAACATAGGCAAATTAACTAGAATTAAATAACATAGACTAACTACTAATGTTATTGAATAAAACTTATTCGATACGGATTTTTTATAAAACGTTAAATTGATAACATCTTAGTCATTAAATTAATAATACATTGATCCAGACCCATTAAAACTTTCAGAAAAGCATTTTTTAGTGTTTGGTCGTGACGGTAGTCATAGTAATTTACTAATTCTTATGATTATATATTATTAAATAACATTAGCAACTGATTAGGAGAATAAACACACATATAACGAATTTTTATAATCAATTTAAAAACATTTATTGAAATTAATTACAAAAAATTTCGTTATTTTTTTCTACAAAATTAATAAGTTAAAAGTCTCTAATTCCAACTATAGACAGATGTCAAAAGAGATATTTCAAAACTTAAATATTACATGTTACAGAGCTGGTGGAAGCAATTTAATGTTTCAACACATTGGTAACGGTCTCCATTTATTTGAATTACTTGTAGCCTATAATTATTATTCATTATTCATATCTAATAACTGCATTGCGTGGCATGGATAACTTTTAAAAAAAGAGCAACGAATAACGTTTTTCAAATAAAAAAAAAAACAGTTTTAAGTGTTTTCTTATTTAAAAATTGTTATTAATAAACAACTTCGAAAGCAATTATATCCGTCGCACGATAAGGCAACAATATCAAATGCAATTTTAAGGACCAGAATTAGACGACAAAAACATTTTATTCATTATCAAAGCTACATTTAAAATTCTCTTTGATCGGTATCTGTTGTTTTGCTTCAAAACAGAGGTCACCCGATGAGGATCTTTCAGTGAAACAAATTTTCAAGTTCACTTCATACACTCCGGGGTAATTATTACATGTCGAGTAATTAAAGTCGTGCATGGTCAGGCATTTTAAAAACCTTCATTATTGTATATTTAATCTATATATAACTCTTTTTATATGGAAAAAAATTTACTATAGAATTAACTGTAATCACTGAACCTATTATTAAATCGAAAACTAACAATTTAAAATATAATAAAAACTTTACATTAAAAACTCATTAATGATTAATGACTCATAATTTATATTAAAAAAAAACTATCTAATGTCAATTTACAAAAGAGATTTTATTAAAATATACACCTATATTAGCATTACGAATAAATTACTTTATAGTAGAGATCTATAATATTTGTAACATAATACTGTATATTGAATACTTTAATCGATATAAATTAGTTATCCAGTAGTTTGTAAGAATTATTTTATTGTTGTCTGTACAAGAAGATAAATTCTTGAGTAAGTAATCAACCTTGTATCTTCTTTAGCAAAATTAAACACCAAAGGATTATTAAGAAACTGATTAATAAATTCGTCAAACAGAAGAATATTCGTTTTACTTAAGATTCAAATTTATTTATAATTTTATTATTCTCTTCACAGATTATGCTTCGTTTCCACATCACTTGGAACAGAACGAGACACCAGAAAGAGAACCATAAAAAAAAATCTGTTTCTGTTATTATTGGTTTTGCTCTTTGACCTAGACTCTATTACCTAAAACAAAAACTGATAACGAAAACTGAAATATAAACAGATTAAGTTTCAGGTTTGTTTCTGTTTAAATAATTTCTGCACTACCTGAAAATTGCGACACTTTTCGAAGCTAATTTTTCCAAAATGGAGGATGCTTTCGTGGCTTTGATGTTCGTATCCGCTTACTCTGTTAATTGTTAACACAAGAAGAGATGACAAGCAAATGTGGAGAGCCTAACATTTCCAGTTTGCCGATGATCTGACATCACTTACAAAAGACTTTCTAATTAGTGAAATCACAACCGGAAAAGCTATTTTTAACTTTGCTTTCAGGTGAGATTCTATCAAAAAAAAAAAGTCGCGTCAGTTTCAGTTGAATTTTTCAAATAACATAGAGTTTAGGCCTAAATCCACTTCATCAGAAATTGAACAAAGAATTTCTCAACGAACTTTTACGGTCAATAATAGAAATAATAACCAGCAAATATGGATGACGATAAACCTATATATCTTGTATATTTTGGCAAAATTAAAAAACGGTCGTAAACGAATTTTTTTTAAATTTTTTTCTTTTGGCATTTAATTTTAAAATCTTAAGTTGTGGAATAATGTTGCTAATAATTAGAAATATTACCTTTTAATTAGTATAATATAAAAACGAAACGTATAACGTAACGGAAAAGTAGAAATATTTTCAACTTTTTTCCGCTCAATCTGAAATTTTACTACAGAAAACAATATCACGTTACTTTCCTGGTTTCTGTTTCTAAAATATTATCTAGTAATGTTGAAAACAAGCTTTATTATTTACGAAAAAATATCAACTTTTTAAAATTTCCAGTTAAAATCTATGATCACAGATGGCGCGAACATCAATNATAAATAATGTCCAGTTTGGATAATTTTAGAAATTTTCTAATTGTTTTGAAAAATTAAGTTATATTTTTAAAAAAAATTAACTTTAAAATTACTTTTTATTTTCCAGAGACAATATTTGAAAATACAACACAAAAGCAAAGAAGAACTCAGTGTCCTGTATGCAGGAAAGTATTTGCTACAAGACAGACACTGAATTGGCACTTAAATACCCATCGCACTGTTAAAGAACAGTTTCAATGTAGAATCTGTGGTAGGTCATTTAAAAGAATTACAAGTCTTTATCCACATATGAAAATTCATGAAGGAGCACTTCCATATGCTTGTCATCTTTGTCCTCAGAAATTTGGTTATTTGTGTAGACTAAAAAGACACTACAAGAATAAGCATTCAGATGTGTCATTTTAAATACTATTTTGATAAATGGTAAATTTTTAAAAAATGATGTACTGTACATCATTGGTAATAAGTTATTATTAATTTACATTTAATTAATTTATTGGCAGTATTTGCCTTATTAACAGTTCCGTCCTAAAAATGTATTTTTATTTGAAATATTAGTTCAAAACTTCTGATATTCACTAATGGAAATGTGTAGATGGGTATCTGATATCTGTTATTTTTAAAAATAAATTATGGTAATAAATGAACAATAAATTAATTTCTAGAATTACTAATTGTTTCATAAAAAGTTTAATAACTGTTGGATAAGAAAGAAGTGCGAAATTATTTAATATTTTTATTATTGAAGAGGTGAAAGACATTCTTTAAATGTAATTGGGATGTATTTTTATCTATTTTTTTTTAAATATGAATGAGTTATTTATATTCAGTTATATCAAGTCATTAATTATAATCATTTCATCAGATCGTATCTCTGTTAATTAATTCATTAATTGTATAATTACATGACTATTAATTTAAATGATTTACAATGATTATATTTAAAATGTTTTATAAGGATTATATTCATTATTTCTGGAGATTTTTTTTAAAAAAAAGAAAAAAAAGAAAGAAAAACTTTTATTTTGAAACCATTAACTTATTCAAATAAAATTGAATAATTGTCAGTTAAGAGATTTTAAGACAGAATTTAAGATAATATTCGTCGTGTTTTTCTGATTATTTACAATATGTTATATTTAAATTAATTCAGATAACCTACTCAAAAAATTACAAGCTGAAGAAAATTGATTTTTTTTTTATTACAATGTTTTAAAATATGATATAGAAGAGGGGTGGGCAACCCTTGGCACGCGTGTCAAACGTGGCACGCCAACGACTTTTTTCCGGCACGCAACCCAGGGCTCACCTTAAAAAAATAAATATCTAAAATCTTTTTATATATTTTTCTTGCTTCGTAAATAATTTATCGGGTTTCTAAAGTGTTATGTATATGAATTTTTGATTATTTGAAAAAGATTCTCTCGATACTTAAAAATATTAAATAATAATGTACAGTACAGTACTCTCGAAATATTTCGATTAGCACGTGATAAATTTTGCATCATAGATTTGGCAATTTTAGCGCGCACACTTAAAATGATTCTCTTGACATAGAATATATGATAGCATTAAATATTAATTTTTCACAATGATATTTATTTAAAAGCTAGTTGTAGGGCTATACAGATTTAAAAAGATAAATATGAAAAGAGACGAAAAGAAATGCAACTACGTAAATTAAATTAATTTAAAATAAATAAATGTTTATGCCTGTAAAGTTCCCGTCAATGGCCATCGTTCAGAGGTTTGATTTTATAAATTAGATATTACAGGGTATTACAAGTTTTCTAAATAATAATTTATATCTGATATAGGCCTATTTATATTTTTAGTAATTATAAAATAAAAGTTTAATTAATAAAATAAAGTCACTTCTGTTATATCATAA